ATTGCTTTGCTTTATGAAACGTTGAAAGAAGAAGTTAGGTGAAGCATTCAGACTGGCCACTGTAATTAAACGAGCTCTCAATAAGCACCCGAGATGCGAAGCAGTATTCCATTGAGAGAAAGAGGAATGGAGATTCTTGTGCACAAACTACCCATTTCGGAAAATCAAAGAAATCGCACCGTTAAAGTCCTCATTCCGGTCGCTCCCCCCGCCCCGCCCTCTTAATTAATTGTAAATTAATTGTAAACTTGATTAGTAAAGAATTGAAGCACGTGAGAACTTAGATAAACGTAATGAATAAACTTGCAATTTCGTTTATTCGCCGAGTTCACTGTTCCACTGATTTAATGGTGAAGGAACACATGAGGGTAAAATCATCCAATAAATGGTGAAGGTAATGAGACTAAGGCAGAGTTGAGACTGACGACTAGTATAGCAACTTGAGTTTTTTTGATTTCATATATATATTTTTCCGACAAAGTGGTGTAGCGTATTGCTATTATCCTAATTTTTTGCAATTTAACTTTCTTTCGAGCAACCACACGAGTCTGTGCCCATCGTTTCGAAAACTTATGGACCAGCCCAAAAATATTAGGCTTACCATTCAATAGATTTTTGTATGCTTTATTCGAGATACGGAAAATAAAACCGTTACAACTGAATTGTATTTCTAGTTAACTGGAGAATGGATCCTAACTTCAAACGCATGCTAAAACTGTGACTTACTCTTTGTTCAGCTCCCGTGAATACTACTTGGAAATTTAAATTAACCTCCCGAATTCATGGAAAATATCTATTGTCCCACACAAGCTACACTCATCTCTTCATGGAAGTTGTTATTTTGGAAGCAAATGACTCAGATGCCCCCTTGAGCAAAACAGGCTTCTGAAGCAACTGAACAAAAAGGCTAATTTTAGCAAAATATGAAATGACACACAATGCGGTGCATGTATTCAATAAAGTCCATGCGCCAATGAATTCAGGTCCACCATTTCAAGTTCCAATTTTCCAAGTCAAAACTTCCCAATTTGTACACCAAGATTTATAAGTTCTTATCAGTGATATTCAGAACCTGTGGACCACCTGAGTAAACTGATAATTTTGTCATGATAACTTGACTATCAATAGCCAATAACTGCTAAATTGCTTTGAAAATAATTTCTTTTGCTAGCCTTCTTAGAGTTTGGATCTTAAGTAATGGGAGAATTGAAGATCAATGGAACAAACAGCGTAGGGACGGAGTAAATAGAGCAAAAAATGTTCTCTAAAATAGCCTACTTGGGACTTTAAAAAGTAGATGAGAATCTGGAGTGGAAGTAGCATTTTCTGCAATCTCTGGAACCGATAGGCTTTTGTACCCTATATGGGATTTGTGGCACACAGCAACTCCACCCTCATCAATTATCTATTTGGGAAAGACTCCCAAAGCCCATATCCCCTTTCTTCACTGCATCATAACCGACATATTCAGTTAATTGCCCACCTCCAAAACCTTTAGTGCTCTGAGGTATCTAATTAAGTCATCCATTATTAATGCTCAATAGCTTATTACCAAGGAAGTCCCATATATAATAAGCGAATACAAATTGCCATCCCTCAATAAGTCATTAATGAATGAATGAGAGTGCGGAGATTGCGATGACAGAGTGGAAGAAATTGGGTGATCTAGATTATTTTAGTGAGAAGGGTGTAAATCAAACTTAACTAGGCGAAACAAACGGAGAAGTTGGGGAAGTAAAAGAAGAATTAGGGTCTGTGCGGTGCACAAAAATCTTGAGCCAAATCTAAGTCATTCCCACTTTCAACTGAGCTAGTTGTTTTAGCTAATTATTCACCAGATAATAATAATTGTACAGTTTAATTGCTAAAATTAAAACAATTTACACCAAGAATACTCCTAAATTGAAAGTGAACAACCCTTATTTGGATGTTTGGATTTAGTTTTTTAGGAAGATTATCACTAATCGAAATCCTCTTCAATAGAGAGGAGATTTTTGCATTATAAAAATAAGCATGTCTGACAAATCCACAATTGAAACAGACTAACCTCCACGTGGTGTACCCTGAGCAACGTATACCCATACGATAATAAGTCTATAAACCGACAATTGACTTCTGACTTCAAACTACCATGACCCAACTGTATGTCATATTCCACCATTTTAACAGTACTCATCTTACCTTTTCTCTGCATTTGTTTCTGTCTGTCTCTTTTACACCTGTGAATCGCTCTTCTGTTCCCCTACCCCTCGACTTTTCTCACTTTTATTTTCCTCTCCTCTGTGAAGACCGAAGTCAATTAAATGACAAATGATAGCTACCAAAACCCCTGCCATTTGAAATCAATAAATAAATATTTGAAACAGCGCCATCCATTCACATCTTCTTAACCGTAAACTATTTACCAATAAACACAAGTGAAATTTACGCCAGTCAATATCAATCTCCGTCCTACAAATAGACAAATCTTAGCTTTAGTCTCATTGCTATGTTTTGATCCCCGCAGACAGCGATCTGACAACCATTTCGCCTCTTGTCTCGAATTCCTACCTGTCCGTTCAATCTACAACTTCTTACACCAATGCACGAAATCCACATCTTATCATCAACTGCTTGCATAACCCTTGAAAAGTCCCTTCAAAGATCAATGCGACTTAGAGTTCAAGCAGGGAAATAATGATGTGTAAAAACAATATAGTCTTTGGAACTTTCAGCATCTCGCCACTGGGTTCATAAGTAACCTTTGAAGCCGTGGGTAATTCCATTTCTATGCATTTGCACTGATCAACTTTATGACATTCGTCACGAAATGAATGCTCATATCAATTCCCCCTATTTCATGAATTCTTTCTAAATCATTGAGCTGGGAACATTTCCATTTCTACTTACCTGCTAAACGCTTCTTGATTATCCTTTCTTGAGCAGCAGGTCCCTAATATTTGGCCTGTAACCGGTGACAATCAAGAAGTCCGAAGAATACCCACGTATATGAAATCAATGTCATTCCCTCCAATGCGTTTCAACGGATTTCTGATCCTGTTCATTTATCTCCAATACCAAGGCATTAAAAATCTCTCCCTCTCTTTGCGAGCCCACAAATCATACTGCTGCGTCCTCCGAATGTGTCATCTATTACACCCACCGTAAATACTAGCAAATACAAATCACTCTATTTCACACATCACATCAATAAGACTTCTGCGAATAAGCATTTTTTCGCTTAAAACGGCATTTTTTCAAGCCCATGCGCGAAGGCAATATTGGTTGAAGGTGGAATACATGGCGTAAAGAATAGCCAAAGGTAAGATCTGAGACGGAGCAGAAAGTGGGTCCTTCTCGTCCTTTGGTCTCCGTCACTTCCCCCACAAAACGCGGCAATCCCCCATTAGCATACTTCCATTTAGAATGATCACTTTTGACCAAAAAATGCTATTTCAAAGCTAAATACATATTAATTTCTAATGGAGTTATGCGCATCTGTTCTTGTCGAAAATACCAGAGTAGATAGACGGTTGTTGCAACGTATACGCATACGGCAACAATATCAGTAATCCGGCAATCGACTTCAAACTACCATGACCCCACTGTATGCCATAGTCGACCACTTCTGCAGTACTCACCTCACCTTACCTTTTTCTCTACCTCTGTGTCGGTCTCTTTCACATTCATGAAACACTCTCCTGTTCCCACCCCCATCGACTTTTTGTGACGTTGATGTTCCTCCCCTCTGTGAGAACCGAAGTCAATTAAATGGCTAATGATAACTGTCATAAAGCCTGCCATTAAACATAAATATATTGTTATTGCCAGAGAAATTCCATTTGCAAAAACTGTAAATGCTATAAACATTAATGGGAAATGGCAATTACCTCTACGTATGCATGAAGTAAAGGACGAGAATTCTCTCAAATGCACTTATTGCTCGTGTAGACTTAAACTAGTGCGAGCAGTATTGACTTTGTCTTTGAAATGAGCAAAAACACCTGACTCAAGAGAACTCAGCTATCAATGAATATGCTTCCAATTTCGGCGATCGAAGATGGTGAAAATATTTCGGTTGAATGCTCGATAAAAGGTAGACTAAATAATAAGAGAAGACAATTAAGTCAATCCCGTATTTAAGAGTACAAGTGTAGACCTCCCAAAATTGAAACGTCATTACTTGGTACTGGAAGGCTCGAATTTTTCAAATGAGGCACAGGAAGGGCCACCATTGAAAGAATCAGCCTACAAAGAACTTAACTTTACGAGAAAGTACACTACCATTAAAGCGTGTAAGCAATGGGGTGTTGGCCTGATAACGAGATGCCTAAGAGAGCATTTAACACGGCCAGGAATACAAATAGATCATATTGGAATGACACTTGGAATGCGTCACTATTAAGCGGTACTCTTCCAGCATTGGCCTTTGAGTTCGTAGTGCTCGCTTTCGGCCAATTTCTCCAAGCACGAACTAATTGAAGCTATGGGCCTAGTTCGTTCTTGCTAACTCAATTGCATGCTGGTAGGTGAGCAGTAAGTGCTCTCCGTAGAGCAGAAAATGAGCAAACAGCTCCGCCTCAAACTGAGGACAATCATATATCATTACAGAGATGACTCGATTACAGAGAACCTATAAGGGGGTCACTACTGACTTCTGGCCTATGCATCTTAATCACTGGCGAAAGAAAATAAACCCAGTAGTTACTGCAGCTTTTCTGCAGTGGTGGCAATTATAACAGGGGTTAGCACTGGCGAGAATTGTGAATGCTCGCAGGCAACATTTCCACGCATTTTAAAACTTTCTAGCTGACAAGAATTACTCCAGAAAACCCAATTCCCATATTCCCAACGGCCCCCAAGAATAAACGGAATATCACATTTTGCTCATATCAAAATTTGCTAAATTCTTTGTTATAATAATAATGATACAAAAAGCACACACGGAAGTGAAGAGGCAAAAGTGGAGAAAGTGGCTTCAGACGTTGCTGCTCATTTCTATCCATCTACCTTATTTTTTTTCAAATGGTAGCACCGGAGGCAGACATTCTATCGAGATGTCTCCTCAATCCTCGCAACTTCTCCATCAGCAACAAATGTTGCTGATGCTGGCTCTGGATGCCACTCGCACTACCATTACCTCCGTCTATCAAGACATGGTCTCCACCAGATTTGGGTTCTGCGTGGAGTTCCACCAAGTGTGTTGTCAGGTGGTCAAGCATTCGGCTACTCTGTAGCTGTCTACAAAATAAAAATAAAAAATAGTAGAGAACAAAGTGATTAATAATAAACTCCCTATGGGCATCTTCAGGTGCTTAAATGTTCAACAGCATACAAAACTATCAATTGAAAAAAGAGTTGATCAAATATAAAAAAGGGATCATTATTGAAAAGCATGTTAAAGTAGATGCAAAGCTTAATGCCTAAGGTTCCACATTCAAATCCTTAGCTATTTAAGAAACACAGACTAAATATATAACAAGTTCAAATAGATCATTACGCCATGGTTAACTATTAATTTACTCATGATAATACTATAAAAACATGACTTTAACTAAGTGAAACACAAGTTTCGCTAGTTTTCAAGGCATGTCCAAACAAAAAAATTAAAACTACAATTTCTCCTCTGTCCGACATTGTAGATGGTCGGGAACGAGGAGCCACATTACTAAGTTTGAAATGCATTTTAAAGCAAGGTGATAAGAGAAAATTTAAGTCAATTTCAACTCCATTTGTATCAATCTAACATTCATCCAATAGTTTAAAACGCTTCAGTGGTCGGGGAATGTGCAAAACTTGTTTGTTGTATCAACTGGTGGGCGATAAATAAAAGTTAAAAGAATATTTAAAATAATTAAACTGACATACCCAACTCAAAACGTTCTCATGCTTTATTTGGAATGGTAAGTAGAATTCTGCCGTGAGTCATTTGTGGCTCAGTTAAGTGACATGAGTAAACAGTTAAGCAAGATGTTTTTGAAGAATCGGAAGCAGAGCAAGAGCGAATAGAGGATCAATGAGAGGAAGGGGTCCAAAATATACTCAAGCACATTCATTTTATGCTTAGAGGGATGCATCCACTTTAGTGAGGTGGTCGCTGCCTCCTACTCTCGTTTACTCTTGGACGCTCCATGTCTTACTTGCATTCTATTATCATGAATCATCAAAAAACGCTCTTTAATACGTCTTTATTGAGACCGCCATTCCTGTATCTGCATTGTCAAATTAAAAGAAAATCCTAATTAACTATAACTAGCCATGCATAAACTGCACCGGATTCTTTAACAAAATTAGAAAGAGAAATCGTATTACAAATCCCAATAAGCTGGAGTCCTTCGGGAATGAGGAATTAATAGTTATGTGCAGAAATAATGCACCAGTTCCATTATGCTGCATCAGATAAGACTGGATTTTCTCAAATGTGAAAGCATGGCATAATGGATGTACATTGAAATGAAAGAGGTAATAGGAGATGGAATTGCTTAATGGACGGGCTATTCAGATTTTAATGAAGGTGTTATGCTATATATTTTGCAAAGCAGTTATTTCAGGTGCAGCGCGACAGATAAGTTAGCTCGTTCTACTATTGTTTTCTTGGAGAAAAATTGCCTCATTAACAAAGCTTGTACCTATTCAGCCACAAATCCCAGTCAAATCTCAGGGTCTCAGGGAAAATAAACTGGATAAGGGATCATCTCTTCTTCCTCAATAGTGGTGGTGGAGGTGATTGGTTAACAAATCAACATAAGAATAAATTAGTCATTATAGAAAACAGATAGTTAAAATGCAATAATTGAGTTCTATCTCTCTTTAAATCAGTGAATAGATTGAAATAGTAACAAGATAGAAAAGTATTACCTGTATAAAGCCTTTAAGAAAACAAATAAATGCATCCAATATTTTTAAGATAGAGTGGATTCATGTGCAAGGAGAATTACGAATAAACAAACGGATATATTTTTAAGTATTTTAATTATACATAACATGAAGTAACTCAAAATAAGAGGCATGTAATAATGCGTTGTCAATACCCAGATGCCTCATTTTAAAGCCAAGTAGACTTTTATGCCTACCAGCAACAGATTTATCCGATTTATTTCAAATAGACATTAAAATACGGGCTTCCTACTTAAATCATGCAAGTAGTACCTTTGTCTAGGTGAAAGTCGAGGGGCAGACTCGATGAATTCTGCCACGAAGATGTAGATAACTTCCATGAGACGCGATCTGACGCTTTCGCGCATCCAGAAGGGATCCTTCTTGCAGATAATTATGTTGTAAGCTTCTACTATTTCAGGACTGGAAGGAATCTTGGCATCGCTGAAGATGGTGGAGACAAAGTTGATGGGGAGATTCTGTTGAATTGCATAACGCTCCAGAGTGGATATAATTACAACTATAAGGAATTAAAACAACATCATTAGAGCCAGGGTAGATATTTCATTTGAGCAGAGTACGATTCCATTTTCATAGTGATCGATACAGCTGGTGCTTTAAAGTGCATTTAAATATTTAAATAGGCTTAACAAAAAAATAACTAAATACAAGCTTCCACATGATATCTGTCCTCATTTATTAAATTGCTAAATGCAACCTGAAGGGAACTCATTTGAGAACGATGAAGTGTAAGATTTGTAGTGGCATCTATCTTGGTGACACTACATAACCATCATTAGGGATGCGCAATAGACTTACCTCCACATGGTGCACCCTGGGCAACGTATACTCATACGGCAAGTCTACTAACTGGCAGTTGACTTCTGACTTCAAACTACCATCACCCCACTCTAAGTCATATTCGACTTCGTCCACTGTGCTCACCTAACCTTTTCTCTGCCTTTTCGTCTGCCTGTCTGTCTCTGTTACATCTGTGAATCATTATTCTGTCCCCCTCTCGACTTTTTGTCACTTTGATGTTCCTTCTCCTCTCTGTGAAGCCCCTAAGTCAGCTCCAGAGCTAATGATAACTATCGAAACGCCTGCCATTTGATATGATGACATAAACATCATAACAGATAAATAAACATAAAACGCTTAAAAGTCAAAACTGAGTTACGAGTAAAAGAAATTTCGAACTCTTTAGATCAACTTCCCAAAGCCCATAATGCTTCAACCTAATAAATGTGCACTTTTGAGCTTTTGATAATAAATGGGTATTCTGGGGCTTAAACACACCAAGAGGGAAAAAGGTGTAGTCAACAGTAGTAGGCACATGCAATTTAACGGAGCTGGCGACAAGCAGAAGATTTTGAGGAACCACAGCGGCTGCGAGACGAGAATAAAGACAACCTAAGCAGTTGGCAATGGTGAATTCCAAGCCTCGAGCCGTCTTCCTAGCTGAGAGGCGTCTGCGTTGTGGGGGGACAGGGGAACTCATATGAGAATTATTGCCTCCTCCAGAGGAGTTAAGCAAAAGACGATGGAGGAGGGCCAACCATATTGCCTCAATAAGATCAGCGTCCTAAAAGTGAAAATAAAAAGTACAAATCGGTTGAAACCTCTTTATTGATGTCATTTCCCCCTCATTACCAATTTGTGATCTTAAAAAGACGTTTATGCTTCTGTTTTCGTCTTTAACTCACCCCATTGACTAGTAGGCAAATTGCGCTCAAAATGTTTGCTGATTACGTGTTCATCGACCCTAGCATAGAAGATTCGCAAGCGAAGCACAAACAATATGCAGCCAAGCATTCGAGAACTAGGCTTATTCAATTATGACCCATTAAGCATAAAAGACCTTATTCTTTGCCTAGGAATAATGGGGGGGGCTTTACTCTTCACAAATAACATCTTTGAAATTATATACTTCTTTGCTCACGTAAACCTGCAAACGCAATTTGATTTAAATTAGAAACTATAGCGTTAGGCTTTGAAAGCTAATCTATTCTCCACCTACACCTCCAAAAATGATTGTGTTACCACAAAACGAACTTTCAGACTGTTAACTTACGGTATAAGATTTCTTCAGAAGTAGCAACAACTAAGAATGCCTTGAAAAAAATAAGAGCATAAAAAATAGGAACGAATGCGAGAGCCTTTGATCCTCAAAAGCACGATTAAGTAAAATATTACTGCCCAAAGGTCTTCAAGACTAAGCTTGATCAGAATTGGAGTTCCGAAATAAACTCAAGGAATGAAAGTATTTAAAGCACCAATCGGAATATCCTCCATAACACCCAATAAAACCCTTATTTTTCCATATCATCCGTAATTAGCCGTCTTAGCCAATAGGATTAAAATAAGTAATGGAAATTATTGCATCCTTAACCTATAAAAACTATGCATACAACGAATAGAGCAAGACCGAGCATTTATTGAACGAAACGATAAGATTGGAACTCAAGACGAGAAGTCAACAAGCCAAACCTTCAAACTCAACTACCTTCGACCTTTAATATGTGCATCCGAGCTTGGCAACTTTAATACCCGAACCTTACCATACATTACTGGGCATTTGGAATCTCATCACTATTGTGGACGTATGAAATTTCTTAACTAAAAAGAAACTCACCGTTTCTCCAGCAAAGTGCATGAGAAGCAGCTTCGATTCGTGTAGTTCGAAAGGTTCAGCATAAGTTGAAAAGAGTTCTGATGCTGAAACAAGAGGTCCTCTAGTGAGCTCATTCAAAGCCACCTCCACAGAGGCCTGTGAGAAGGTTGTTGACATATTGGCTGTAGAACTTGTACATGTAGCAGCCAATTCCAGGCATAGTTGACGCTGTAATTCTGCAACATCTAGTCGATCTTGAAGATCGGCCAAATAGTCCGCGGTTTCTGCCAATTGAGATTCTGAAAGAGAAAATATTACCACTGTTCAAGCAGCAACGCCAGTCAAACCCACGGAAGCCCACTAAATTAGTAAGAAGATAGTTTAACTTAATACTACCTCAGAAGTAACTAAATACTTAATCTACCGGGTAATCTAAGTAAAAAGGTGCTCAATAAACGTCAGAGAACAAGTCATCAAAACTAGATGAAAATGTAGAAAGTTAAATCTATTTTCTGAAATTTTAAATCCTAGACTAAACGTTATTTGATGAAATCTAGGAAGCCCTTTGTGAAAATTCGTCAGATACAAACCCATTATATCTAAGGATCACCTATAAATCTTGATCTAGTATGTTTTTGAAAACCTCTTCGACTTCCACAAATAAATACAAAACACAGTATATGTATGCTTCTTAATTTAAACTTAGAGACGGTGAAAAAATTCTCCAATGCCGTAGACGCCTCGCAACTTACTACGGTGAATAAACACAATTATGATAGCCGATTAACTTACGAGGTAGAGCCTTTACTGTAACAATAGCTCTTGCGAGATAGTCTAATCTGTCCTCCAAAGTTAGACCCTCCTCACTGGAATTCGTTGTAGCAAGATTTTCAAGTACCCTAGCCGCCTCCAGCCTAGCCCCACGGGATTCGAGTTGTCTCCAAAGTAGACGTCTCAGAGGAACATTGTTGGGTGACTGGCGCAGACGAGATTCCAAATAGGCTTCCAAGTGAGGTGAATTAAGTTCCACAGCCTGTTCAAGAAGATCGTGATTGAGGAGCCATCCAATAACTTCAAAATGCGCCAGAATATCATCGGTTTTGAAAATCAATTTCAGAACATCGAGCAGAATTCGTCTGACAACGTCTACAGTAGGGTTGAGACCAATACACTGTAATGCACCAGCAGGATCGTATTTAATTTCGCTTTCAGGTTCAGGAATCCTGGATACTGATGTTGGGAGTCTGGCTAATTCTAAAAGACCACCCAGACAACCAAGAGCAGAACGATAGGCTTCGTATCGTCCTTCTACCATTTCAGCTTCAGATTTTGCTGCTGAAGTTCCCTTTCCGAGTCTCCTAACTGACACATCAGTTGCTGTTTCAGGTGTCCGTCCCTCTTTTAGACACTGCAGGGCTACATCCAGGGGATCCCGCTGCCTAGCAACTGTGAGACAGAGGCTAACAGCAAGACCCCATGCACCAACTGTGGTGATGAGTTTATTAGTTGCAAGGGCAATATTTATCGATGGACCTGCTGAGTATAAAAGGTCAACCGCTTCATTGATTAGTGCTCCGCGTTGATCAGAGATACCGATCGTGGCTGCTCGCATAAGGAGTTCTTCAGCTCTAGCACACAAAGCATCCTCATTCCCAAATAGACTTGGACAAATTGCTCGCAATCGGGCACAAAGAGTATCCACAGATGCTGATTGGCATTGACCTGAGATGTAATAGTCTAAAAGGGCCGATATGAGAGCTGAACGAATGTCTGGAGTTGTTTGAACAGTTGATGGGGTTGAAACGGCAGCCGTATGGGGCATCCAACAAACAAATGCTTCGACTGGAAGGTTGATTAAATCCATTCGTTGCTCAGTAGTTAACCGACTAATACCAAAGAAGTCGAATAAGGGCGACTATCATAAAAAATGAAGTTAAAAAATAGTCGCATACCTCGTGATAGCAGGAACATTATGCTGGCTGATAATCTGCCAGAGACCAATAAATTCAATAAACGCTGAAAGGAGGGAGCACAGATCCTGCGTAAGACGGGAGAGGGGTGAGTGACTAGATTCAGTGGTACCAATTCTACGCTGCCCCGAGTTAGTCGTGGACATCTTTTGAGCGGAGGACTCCAATAGGGCTTTCAGATAGCGGAGCTGATGGAGAACCCATTCCAAATCTTCCGAGCTCAAGCGAGATGTGAGCTAAAAGAATAAAGTTGCGTAGAGGGGATTCCCAAGGAAAATTTTAACTTACAATTATGGAATCATTGCCATCGCTTGATCCAGAAGACATAGCAGCTTTAGCAATTGATGAGATAAGCGAGTAGAACAGATCAGTGATGCCTTTAGATGACGTGCCATCAGCAACATGACGACCAGAAGTGATTGATCGATCAGCTACAGCAAGCATCGGAGTACGCCAAAGAGATCGGGCAACACGAGAAAGGAAGAGTGTAGCTCCAATAACAAGAAAAACGTCAGCCATTAGAGCATCATGCTGCTTTTGGTGTTGATGCTGACCTTGTGCATTGCCAATAAAACCAGAGAATCCGAATTCTGAAAATGAAGTACCGAAGCCAGTGTGTTGCATTATACCCCCCGTTGTAGAAGAGGGATTTCCAGTGAGGAGTACGGGAGGGTTCCAGAAACGCGCGGCTTCAGTAGAAAAGAATATAATAGCCTAGAAGGAACACAGAAAGTGAGCAAGTTAAAGTTTTCTTTCATTGAACAGTTTGTCCGAGAATTGAAAATAGTTAAAAAGCAACTATTTAAACGTTAAATGCCAGTCAGACGGTATTTGGACAACCAATAATATTGATTAAGCTACCTGAGATGTTATTTCTCCGTTCAAAAGCTGCTAATCATAAAACGTAGAAACTGTTCGAAAAGAAAATTTTATATTTGCCTTATTTGCAGACAAACTGCCTAGCAATACGCCAATAAGAATAAGGAAAACACTGAAAATCGTAATTAAAACAGTATCTTCAAAACCCAATTTCCCAGGACATAAAAACTATTCTAGGATGGATGTATGTGGGGAAAAAGTGCAATACAGTGTCATAACTGCATATAAAACAATTTGTCAGAAGATAAAGCTAGAAATTGCCAAGGAAGGCTCTGGGCAGATTTGCAAGAGCCTACTGAGTCTTTAAGCAAATTCCACGATCAGGCTTCTGCAACAAGCCTACCAGCAGTAAGTATACATGAACTGCTGAGAAGGGGAGCAGTCACGAAGGAAATTGATTTTTGCCACAGAGATTAAACACAATCAAGTCCTTTACCAAGGCAATTCATGCCAAATGAGACGAATCCTACTGCACAAAAAATGTTCGCAGAAAATGAAGAAATAATTTGGATTGGGAAGCAGAGAACAGTGCAATTTCAAGAAGAGCAATTGTTCCATCTCGAATTGGTTAGAAAATTGAAAAATTCGAGTAGGTGAGAGCAAACTAAAAAACTTATTCCCTGTATTAAAAAGAGCAAAAGCAACAATTCAAAGAAATTCCATCCCTTAAAAATCAATAGCATTCCTGGAGACTTTAATGGCCAACATAAGGTCCGAAAATTGAGCTAAATAGAAATCAGTGTGACGTTTCATGATTAAGTTAAAGATATGCTTTGTTAACATAATTCCGAAGTTAGTTGGCATTACAGCATGAATTAGTTCTGACTCCGATAGTGAAAAAGGTCCCCTGCCAACTAGATAGGCTAGCAGCATCGATTGAATTGCAGACCTATTGATCCATCTCCAAACCATTTGAACAATTATTCAGAGGATAAAAAAATCCGACATTTGTAAATAAGAACGGAATAAGGAGATCAATCCCATCACCATTAATAGATCAACTCGTACATACGCGTAAACAGTGTGATAAAACACTAATGAAGCAAAATTAAGCATCAGTGTTTGACGCAAAAAAGGCCTTATTCTACCACCCTCCGTAGGATATGTATTGGCTTTATAGGAAATAACTACGTACTCTCTCTGCCTGAGCAACAACCTCGGATTTGCCCTGCTCAGAAGCAGCAATCGCAATAGCTGCACAAATCGACTCCTGTGGGCCAAACTGATGTAAATAGGTGCTCAGAAATCCTCCACCGTCTCCAACATCTTCCCCGAATAGCCCTCCAAAAGCCGCCGTCGCTGAAGCAGTAGTCGTCATATTTTCGGCCGAAGAGACAACAGATCGAATAAAGTAATCGCGCAAACGTTGAAGTGGAGTAGGCAGACGCAAATGGACAATACCATGAGCAGTAATGACCAGAACCTTTCTATAAGGAGGATCAAGATGTTGAGTGAACACAACTGGAGGAGCCCCCTTCGGAAATGGTTGTTGAGATGTAGTCGCGGGAGTTGGTGTACCCGAAGTTGAAGTCTGTGTACCAGAAATTTGATTTTGAGGCCCCATATATGCTGGTTGCTGAGGCCTACGATAGGATATATTTAACAACTTTACAGAGTTTCTACTAAATTAGAAATAAGTAGGCTTACTCAAGTGGAGGAAAGGCAGCAGGGACGGATGAATCATGAGGCAACTCAATACCCTTTTTATTGAAACTGGCTGAAGAGACTGGATTAATAGAATCACCTTCATGTTCTACTGTGGGAAGAACAGTGAGAGCCCAAGGTGATTCAACATTAAGGGAAGTGGAAATGGTTTCACAGAGACTAGGTGACCATGGAAAGGCGTCAGGAGAAGCGACGGATATGGTAAGGGTGTCTGGCTGTTGGTCAGCTGTTGGTGTCTGAAGTTGGAAACTGGGAGGAAGTGAAGCGAAGATTACTGTGCCTCGAGTTTCAGCTACTAGTCTATATCACAAAAAATGGTCATGATTCTAAGAAAGCAATGCTGAAATACTATTAAATGGTACGCCAATTACCTGACTTCACCTAGGGCAAATTGGGACTGTTGAGATTGAGGTTGAAGCTGCTGCTGCTGATGCTGGTGTTGTTGTTGTTGTTGTTGTTGTGATTGTAGAAGAGGCTGAATTGAGGTGTGCTGACTTGTTGAGAGCATAGAGATGTTCGGATTTTTCATAATCTGAGGAGGAAATCGAACATGGGCGATTCGGAGACTGTCACCAAAGTAAATTCGGACGCCAGTTGATGTGACTGCCATCATTTGAATGGGTCCAGAATCATCAGTTATAGCGCAAATGGAAATAATCCTGAAAACGAAGGAAAAAATTAATCTTAGCATATACGGTTCTGATAGAATTAATCGTATATACGTTGTTTGTGATGGTCAAGGTTTAACTAAGAAAGGAAGGGTAGAGGGTTAGGGTTAGGTACCAATGTTGTCGATGATCTTCTATTAAAGAAACGACTACATTTGTCAGAAGAAATATGCAGTATGAAAGAGGTTAATAACCTACTAGAGGCAAACCGGCTAAATTCGACCAATTCAGGAAAAGATTTTTGGAAATATTCTTACCTAATGTTACCAAAGGAAAGATTTTTCAAATTTAAAATAGGTCGTGGGAAAGCAGTTTGCACACTGATTAATATGCATTACATTTATGTTTTGTTTTTGAGCGCCATCTGACGCTTATATCTAGTAGATGGACATTCTAAAATATTTCTTAGTGATACTTTGTTTGCACATGGGTTCAAAAAGGGGAGCTATTATCTCAAAGAAGATGAATCGATTGAGGTCCACTATTCTCCCACTTCAGTTAAACTTCGAAAAGCAAAAAGCCTCCAGGTTTCTTAGAATCCATAGAGTTCACACTATGAATGTAACCCATTGTCCACCCTTAATCTTCAGTTTGCCTCTCCTATTTCACAAAAATCGATTTGATCGATTACAAATAAAACGAAAATTGCCAGGTCTTTCCCGCTTTTAATGAACACGCTTCAAATCCCAAACATTCAAATTCATCTCCTTCTACGTTGAGAATGTCATGGATGGACACCAATAAGGGCAAACTTTTATGGCATTCTAGCACTATCAACCACACCTCCGAGTTCAATAAAATTAAGAAATCATCTGAAGTTTAGTATTCAAGCATTATGGATAACTGCAATATCGCATTCGAAAATAAATCATAGCCATGAATTTCACTGCATGCATATTTGCCCAGTAAGAGTCTTTTCAAGAGTTTGAAGGTAATATGGTCATGCAGAAAGAGCCAATTCATCTAACGAAAATGTAGAAACTTTTATGTGCGATTATGAAACCGTTAATCTTGCAATCGTTGGCAAATAGCTTTTAATGTTTTTCTTAAGTAGTCATCTTACACCTCTAAATCTTGTTATTAAGAGTTAATAGGGAGATTCCGTGTTAGACCAGTTTGCCACTCTTGGCATTGTGAATAAATCTTTCATCTGTGACAGATTCTTACTTTTACGAAAGCATATTACCACTGAAACATTCCTCAAAAGCCACTCATAAGAAATTCCGTTAGAAGTACGAAGTCCAGACACCATGGTGATGTACGGATATACCGCAATAAATGTCATGGTTCACATTATATGAGGATGACAAATTGAGCAAAGAAGCGCTTTATCAGGGTGTCAAGGCCCACTGTATCCATCACCATCAAAATTGTGGGCAATATGTCGGGCAAATGGATCTGAAAAACTTTGTGATTGTGATTACTACGACAAGTCAAAGTGCCCCATTTGCTTAAACATCAAAAGACGAGTAGATGCTTAACTCGAAGCGAAATGTAAGAAATAGACATTTGCAAAAATAGCACATTTTATATATTTTATAACCCATAACACTTGATATGTAACCATGAGAAGTAGCATAACGCTCAACTAACGACATCGGATGCTCGAACCGATCACGAAGGAAAATAGGAGTTAGACCAAAAAATGAACTACAAAAGTTAGGAAGTTCCAAGTAAAATAAAAAGCTGAAAGTTTTTGTCTGCCATTGTTTGGTAGTTCACACCAATCACTTCTTCAATAAAAATGGAATGTACGAAATCAAAATTCAAAAAATTGCTTCCCCTACGAGGACATTAAATTTGATCATTAAATTGTTGGACTTAGAAAACACAAATAAACACACTATTATATAACAAATCCGTCAATAACAGTCAAAATCAACCTCACAAACTAATTAAAAGAACTTGACTTGGATAAATGGGAAGACATTCTAGAGCCAATCTCATAAGAAACTCATTATGCCACCACCTCCACCCCGCACACTGCGGACAAGCATTAAACGGAGCGGTTAGTCATGAACAACACGATATATTCATTTAGACACTAGTTCATTGGTGCGAAGAATAATTAAAAGACAATTTCAAAATGAACATTCCTAAATATTAATTCTTTATTTATGGAAATAATGCATGATCTCAAGGCCGAAATTGTGCTTATTACCAAAACTCATTGGTGCCATATAGCGTTCTAACCACTTCAATACACGCAAGCAAGTTCTTTTGTAATGAAAAGAAATTTAATTACTCACTTTTGGAAATGACTCCGATCTCTATTCTGTAGAACAGAAGAAGCCCGATAAGCAAGGTCGGATTGCGATAGACTTGCTAACTTAGATAGAAAATTTGGAGCAGTTTTGGTGCCAGGAACATCATACTGATACACGGCCAGGTGAGAATTCTCAGACAGAGTCCATAGCAGCTTTCGACGTGATTCGACAGCAATACGAGTGATAGCACCAGCAGAACGGAACCCGTTTGTCAAAATAGTTGGAAGGAAGAAATCCAGCGATGATGCTGTGTGATTGGTGATGCCACAGCACTCCAAAGACCCCGGATCATGAGCATTCAAGCTCTCATCCAAAGTGGGAACCGCCTTGTAAGTGAACTCAAGAAGATTACCCTCGCGATTTCCCATAAAGAGCCTACAAAAATATTGACACAAGCAAGGGATAATACCTTCCATTTGATGTGCCTTCCAAACATGTTATATAAAAATTGTTCGTAGGAATCAAGTAAAGGGGAATTGGTAATACATTAATAAGACCGTTACAGTAATAACCATCTGGAGATGTTGAATAATCATAATTGACACCCAAAATAACAAGATTCGTAGGGGTAGCAAGGCCCAAAAGGTACTCAATAGCTGATGGTAGAACGCCTGGTTTGGGTCGGAATAAACAAACTGATATGATAATGTCTTGACAGCCATCATAGAAGGCTAAATCCTCCCCATCGTCGTAATTCCACAGGTATAAATCAGAATCAATTGTGAGCCATGCTTTGCGACATTGTGGAAAAATACCCATTCGACAACATTGCTTTACTTCGGCTAATCGTTCGAGCAATTCTGGTGGAATTGAAGTTGTCTTTTCGAACTCAAGTTGTCCTCCCACATTAATATGGGATACAGCATAATCAGTATCCAGTGCCCCACTCATTTGAGCATTATCTATTAAGAGCATTATTTATCGGTAAATAACGACTACCATGGCGATTATAGCCAATTTTAGATGCGAGGTCCTTGTATTGAGCATCTTGGTCTATTAGCTTATTAAGCCATTCACGGGCATGGTCTGTTAACGATAAATTCATTGCAGCAGCCTTCAAAAATCAACCTGACGCCAATGAAGTAGGCTAAACTGACCTTCATTAGGATTGGTCGGATAAGAATTGCGTAGTTAAGATGGTTGGTTTTCACATTTTCTTGGAAATAAATAAATGCATCAAAAGTTTTTATTAGATTATTGATTTTCATTTTTATATTTAAAATTGATCATGAAAATATTTTGTTAATGTTGGTCAATTTGGAAACTTGATATAAGTTAAGGCTCTTATATAAGAATAAAATCAAAGAAATTTTATGGAAAAAAGTAAGGATATAAATATAGAAATAGGACAATTAAGTTACTGTTATTACGTGACGTGTTAAAGCTCATGCTTTATAAAAGCCCTCCCCCCCCCCCCCCCCCCCCCCCCCCCCACCCCATCGGAAAAAAATTACGACTTGACACTAAAGTATCTTCAGTAAAATAGTCAAAATAGAGCCTTTTAAGGGATTTTTCTTTTATACTACAGAAAAATGTAGACTTGAGTAGCATTAGGGCAATAAAATACGTCGACAAAATAGCCAGAAGAGTTGGAATGTGATCTTGAATAAACATTCAACTGTTCTTATGCCATTTTTAATGTATTTGCAAATATTTCTTTGTAATAAGCTAGATTAGTTCGATAGAATGCTATATGGGATATGAGAAATCTCTAATTTGACCGCTATTGTTGGAAATATTATAGTGCATTAATTTATTCGTTCCTCGCTAAGGTCGATGCTGATGCTAAACTACGCGGACAAATCAAAGCAACCAATGAGATCTATGAAAGGTACTAAACGTTATATAAATTCGTGCCGCGTACCCAACATACAATTGTTGCGTTTTCCCCTGTCTGGTTGCCCGTTTCTCTCAACTTCATTTTGACAGCCAACAATGCCATCTACTTTGGAATTATTAAAGAAGCATACAGTTGTAGTTGCCGATACTGGAGATTTCGAAAGTAAACCCTACTGATTATCCTCTATACCTCCCCTAGGTATCCAAAAGTTTTTACCAACTGATGCAACAACCAACCCATCTCTTATTCTTGCGGCTTCAAAAATGCCAAAATATTCCACAATCATTGAAAATGCTGTTAAGATCGCCAAGGAGAAGGGAAAGACTCTCGATGAACAAATCGAGATTGCCTCTGATTATACATTCGTGATGTTCGGCAAGGAAATTCTCACGATTATTCCTGGACGTGTATCCACGGAGGTTGATGCAAGGCTCTCCTTCGATAAGGAGAAGCAAATTGCAAAGGCACTCAAACTTATCTCGCTCTATGAAGAGATGGGAATTTCTAAAGAGAGAATTCTCATTAAGTTGAGTTCAACTTGGGAAGGCATTCAGGCGGCGAAGGAATTGGAGTCTAAACACGGCGTCCGCTGCAATCTTACTCTTCTATTTTCTTTTGCCCAGGTTTGGCATAGTTTATTTACTCTATTAATGGTTTGAATAGGCTGTTGCTTGTGCTGAGGCTGAGGTTACTCTTATCTCTCCATTCGTTGGACGAATCTTCGATTACTGTGTGGCTAAAACAGGCAAATCTTATGGTAAATTGGATGATCCTGGTGTTCAATCTGTGACTAATATCTACAACTACTACAAAAAATTCGGCTATAAGACCGAAGTTATGGGTGCCTCTTTCCGCAATGTTAACCAAATCCTTGGTCTTGTTGGTTGTGACTTGTTGACGATTTCTCCCAATCTCTTGGAGCAACTTGCCAGCATGACTGATGCTGCTGAAGTAACACTGGATGCTAAAGAAGGTAATTTTTTCCCCTGAATACTCATTAAAAGTACTCACTCTTGCGGTATATTCGAATGATATTCTTTGCTGTTTCTAGCTTCTGTACGTTGTGCATATAAAGAAGCTCTGCATATGGATGAAGCAACTTTCCGTTGGATGCTGAATGAAGATCCTATGGCAACGGAAAAACTCTCTGATGGTATCCGAAATTTTGCTGCAGATTCAAGAACCCTTGAGTGCCTGCTCAAGAAACGCCTTTCGGCTTAAGTTCTTCTTGTCTTCCCCTTCAGCCTTGCCTCGCTCCCTTCTTCCTATCTAGCATATAATAATATATATTCTTTATTCCTTGCCTGGATGCTGTCTATAGATTAAATTAGATTTTTTGCTTAATGTGTTTCTTTTCTATGTCAAATTGATTCCTTTCGGTAGTGTTTACTTGTGCCCCTCTTTTGATACACTTTGTTGCGCTCGCACCTGTTTGTATTTTCTGCAAAAAAAGTGAAAACGTATTCATAAACTTAATTTAATAAATTATTTCCGCTTTGTTCATTGAGCGATATTAACATGATAATAATAATAATATTAATGAGGATATCATATATCGGGTTTCATAGCATTGCATCCAAACTTTCTTTCTTATGCGAGTTTGGGCAATTTTATCGACAGTAAATATCGTTGCTAGTCATTGAAGTCCGGGGACAGGAGACTGGCGCTTATCAGTGCACTTCTAGTGATGTAGATGGTTAATCCCATTGACTAATTGAATACTGTCTTCTTGTAAAATCTACTCCAAAGTGGGCTTTTCTACCTAAGATTTTTGCTTCATATGCTTCTATTAATGGTGTTATGTTGTTATAAGCATTCAGGACTAAGTTCAACAGCGCATATATCTTCTAGGGGTTGTGAATGGGAATTGCCGGCAGACTTTGCCTTTAGTGCAATTTATTTGAAGTGTACTTATGCTATCTTTGGAAAAAACGTGAAAACCTTTTATCACAACATCAAGATAAGTACTAGTACTCAGTTTATGGGACAGAGTGAATAGAAGTACATCGACGAGCTCTTAAATCTGCAGTATCGGTCTTTTCAAACGCCCTCCTCACTATTTGAACACCATCTGTCACTCTCACAAGTGACGGGGCTAAAAGACTAACTAGAGTTGTACATTAGCCATACTTTTAACAACCTGAAAATTTGCTCATTCAAGCATTATTTGATCCACAGACATGCGAAGTTGTCTATTAACTGACGTTTGCTAGACATTGCCATCAGTGATAGCTACTTCTCTTATCCTAGAATCACATTATGTCTGGTGAATCATGAGCAGATACTTATCCTCGATTGATCATTTATTTTTAACTTTCAATATTAAATGGACTATTGCAGCTTTATGATCAATGCAATTTGTACTATTGTAAAAGTTCAGTTTAATCCACAATCGTTATTTGCCTCGTTAGTAAAGTTCAGCTGAGATATTTAAGTCGATTGCTCAAGCACAAAACCATCAATCAAGTACGGTTTTGTTAGGATCGACCAACTTCGTGGCGGATGTGCTGATGGCCGATATAAACTGCCATTTATTGTTGTTGCGAATCGATTTTACTCAGGTCAAGTCCTTGAAAATCAGTATCTGGCTTTTAAAGTCATTAGACGAATGACTGCTGTAATATTCTTTTGGCATGGTTGAGAACATAATTTAAAACCTTTTTGACAGTTAAAGTTCATTTCGAAAAGCACTATATTCTTAGGGAACGACCTTTTGTTAAAATAAAGATAATTTAAATTCACGGTTGCCTACAAAAAGGACCAGTAAGTTCCATTCAAGCAGGCCATAATCAACCTGCCTACTTGGCTATTAGTCATTCAAATTTCAATTAATCAAAACGCAAACTTAAGCAAGCGATAAGCTTTATCTCCCATTTAACACTGTGCAAAATATCAACGAATGAAGTTTATAGCTTCTGGAGATGGAAAGAAAATCTGGTTTTTAGGCCTAAATTTCCATTATTTACTTCCCTATTTCCTCCAGCTATATTCTATCATGAAGACGTTATTCCCCTCCCTACCCAAATCGCCTTTTTGATGCAAAGTTTAACCAAAAAATTGAGCGATAAAATGATCAAACACTTGCGTGCTTTATTCTGGGATGTGACTTTATATTTCACAGGCGCCAATTAATCGTCTTATTAGTTGACACCACATACAGTAGCTATGTATTTAGCAGTGGACTAAGTTAGAATGAACGAAATTCGTTGAAACCCCGTTTACAAAAAGCTATATAGCAGTTCGCTGATAGAGAACAAATGGAGCCCTAAATCCCACATAACTTTATCAGTTATTTGGGAAAGAGTTCTGCTACAGAACCAGGACTTACGATTTTTGCCTGACCGAAGGAAGAAATAACCATGGTTCTAATAATGCAGAGAGTTTTTCAAATGACTTAGAAAGAGAAAAATCAAAACCTGGGATTCGCGCTCGAATAGTAACAACAAAGTTTGGTACTTTTTTCAACTTAGAACGACTGAGTCGCTCAAATTTGATATCGCGCCTCTAAAGTACTCAATTTATAGGTCATCTTCGTATGTACTGTAATGAACTTTTCAGGTACAAGTTAATCGTAGTAAAATTGAGTTGGCTCAAGGCGTAAGCCAAGGAAGTTGAGGATATAAAACCTGAAATAGGAAATTCGGGACATTTAGTCAAGGCACAGTGATGTTTGCCCAGTGCTTTTTGCCGTATGAGTATACGTTGTTCAGGGTGCACCACGTGGAGGTAAGTCTATCGCACACCCCTGGATAATAATAATAATATTAACGTAAGTGAACGAATATGCTTATCAGTAAATGAAAAAAAGGCATTTGCCTGCCCATGGTAATCAAATATTTGATTACACTTCTCCCAAATGTCTATCTCCTCACTCTAGCAAAACGGTTCGAGTTTGGTTTATGAAGATATATCCCATTGTTAGTTTATTTACTAAGTAAACTTGAATGATTAATTATTACTAATATATAAGTGAATCCAATGTAGTGAATAATCTAAACTAGTATATATATATATATATATATCAAATGGCAGGCGTTTTGATGGTTATCATTAGCTCTTTAGTTGACTTCAGGCTTCACAGAGGGGAAGGAACATCAAAGTGAAAAAAAGTCAAGAGAGGGAGGGGGACGGAAGAGTGTTTCAAAGACGAAGGTAGAAAAGGTAGAAAAAGGTGAGGTGAGTACTGTGGAGGTAATCGTATATGACATACTGTCTGGTGATGGTAGTTTGAAGTCTGAAGTCAACTACCGAATAATAGACTTTTTGTCGTATGAGTATACGCTGCCCAGGGTGCACTACGTGGAGGTAAATTTATCGCACGCCCCTCTAAACTTA